AATATTTCAAAAATAATGAAAGTTTGGCGGCTACAGTTTGCAAATTTCGTAGAATATATGAGCGGAATATTGATATAAAAGATCATGTGATTTAACACCGCTGGATTTCTTCTTTCGGAGTTATTTGAAGTCAATGGTCCTTGCCAAGAAATTCACAACCAACAGGATGCGTGGAAGGAGGATATGCATGAAAGAAAATTTCGATGAAAGCGTGCTTACGTGCCAGCAAAGCCATGGAATAAAAAAAATTGCAGTTAAAACAAGTGGGAAAGTTATATTCGGCGGGGTTGGAATTTCGCGTACCCAACACATAAATGCTTTTGCATTTTTTCTAAATGACCACCATAATTGAATTACAACTAACACACTTTATCGCATTATACTCTCCAACTTCTTTTATGTTATACGTATTATAACGGTATTTTAACGAAAAAATTGGTTCACCGCATCGTGACGTCCGAGATGCTTAATTTGGAACTAACACACTTAGCTTCACGCATTTTACTCTCGAAGTCCTTTTAATTGATGCCCACCCAGCTGATATTATTAAGAAACAATTAATCGATCACATGCTCATTTAAGAATTAATCCATTTTTAAGCATTTAGGGAATGTATCAAATAGTTCTAAACAAATTTTTCTAGTTTGCGTTATCATAAATTTTCAAAAAAGGGGAAAAATTAAAATTTAATCATTTGTAACTTTATGTGGGCGTGGTCGATTTGTTTAATTTTTACACGTACAGAGAACGTTTCGTCAATTAAACGTAGAAATTATCAATCTTCTAATTTTTATAATTTCTGAGTAACGAGCAAAAACACACAAGTTGTTATTAAAAAAATGGGAAATGCGTTCAGTTTGCGCCCCACTAGGCACTTCTGCTCCCACCAATTTGACGCATTCGCAAAACCAACCTGCGTGCGAAAATTTTCAATCTTTTTATAAAAATTTGAAGTCGTTATCTTCATTTTTGCGACCAGCAGGGTGCCAACAAGAAACACCACATAGAAGGACAGACATTGCTTAGTCTATCTACGCGTACATTGACATTTTAATTATAAAAAAGAACCCTTTGATTTTATAAATTGAACTCTTTGAATTACTCTCAGATGGGACCAAATTCGAACTCGTTTTTTCAATTATTCTTAGGTTTGACCAAACTCGATCTCGCTTTTTCTATTCTTTCTCAATTGTAAACGAATTCAGACCCCAAGTCTCTCAGAATTTGTAAAAATCGAACCCAAAGTATCTCAGAAATTTTAAAACGCGAACCCAAAGTCTCTCACAATTTGTAAAAAGCGAACCTAAATTTTCTCAGAATTTGTAAAACGCGAACTCAAAGTCTCTCAAAATTTGTAAAAAGCGAACCCAAACTCTTTCAGAATTTGTAAAACGCGAACCCAAAGTCTCTCAGAAATTGTAAAACACGAACCCAAAGTATCTCACAACTTATAAAACGCGAACCTAAATTTTCTCAGAATTTGTAAAACGCGAACTCA